CCACTATGGAAATCAGTATGGAGATACCTCAAAGAACTAGGACTGGAAGTCCCATTTGACCCAGCTATTCCCCTGCTGGGTATTTTCCCCAAAGAATTAAAGGAATCATACCACAGTGATATATGTGCATCCATGTTCCTAGCAGCACAATTTGTAATAGCCAAAACTTGGAATCAGCCCAATTGCCCATCAACTGGAGACTGGATAAAGAAAATGTATTTTTTAAAAATAAAACGGAGTACTACTCAGCCATAAAAAATGAGAAATTAGAGACATTTTTTGGTAAATGGTGCTATGGTAATGGTAATTGAGGTGATCCTCTTAAGTGAAATAAATAGGACACACATGTAAATACCGAATAGTTTCTCTAGTGTGAGAAACAGAGTGTAAATAAGGACTAAAAGGTATAATAGATAATGTAAAATAGGAAGAAAAGGGGCAAAGGAGAAGGGAAAGTGGGAAGGGTAGGGGAAAAGAAAGGGGAATGGAATTAATATGAGAAAATGAAAAAATGGAAAGTCTTACAAAGTCTTTGTAAATAGGGAGGGATGGAGATGTTGAAGGGAGGGCAGAGGAATGGGGAAAAAAATAACCAAGAGAGATTATGTAAAGGTGCAAATTTCCGATGATGAATGTCATTATATTGTATACCTAAAATATACCAATAAAATTAATTTAAAAATTCATGTGAGTATTGTAACTTGTGTACTAATATTGCAAATAAGCAAATAATGTGGATGATTTCTTTAAATGTTCAAAATGGGCCAGTAACATTTTAGCTAAGTGCTAAAATTCTTGCAGCATATAAATCATTTTCAACTTACTGTGTTCTTATTGAACTGTATTCACTAAAACAAATGAGTTCTGATTGGATTTGTTGTATTTTTCTGAATTTCTTCTACCATACTGAGAGTATCAGTGGAAGCATCCCATTTTATGAAAACTGGTGGCCCAAGGACCTTTGTGTTTGCATATTGTGATATAATAACAAGGAAATCAAATCAAATAATTTCTTTATCTTTAATTCTTCTAATATTACTGCTACTAAGTGTCCTTGCTGGTTCTCCATGTTGAACTTTGTCTTTTTAGCTCATTTTGTGTTTGGGCTAGGATTCTTTGAAATGGCCCCTTGCTTGGTAGGAGATAAAACAGTAATATCTGTTATTCCATTCAGTTTCCACATCGTTTAGCATACTGGGTCAGTGAATCCCTGGAGCCTTTGTTGTTTTTCTTGTTTCTCCCTTCCCGTCTTCTTGTTTCTCTTCTTTCAAGGGACAATGGAGGGACAATGAAGGGCTGGTGAAGAATTCATTCTTAGGTGGTGTCCCAGTACTTTGGGCATCACAATTTTTTTCCCCTAAGGTTAAGGTAATGGCAGTACTGAGGGTATTTTAAGTGTGAGAAGGCAGAATCCAGGGGCTTGGGGAGTTTGGGACATTTATATTTGAATTTCCATACCCTAAGCACTTTTTAGGATCATATCTTAAGGTGTAATTTCCTTTGCTGTCACATTTTTTTTTTTTTTCAGTATTAGGGATTGAACCCAAGGGTTTGCACATGCTAGGCAAGGACTTTACTACTGAGCTAAATTCCCGACCCCTGCTATTTGATTTTTTAGGGGTTTTTTTCTTTCATTATAATTATCCTGTCAAGATTTTTGCCTAGAGATTACATTTTAGATCAGAGGCTACAGAATTTCCATGTGAACACTACTGTGTAGGTTTTAAATTAGTTATACAAAGAATATTTTCTAGGGGAGAAAGGTCTGCGTCCCTTTAGGATCTTGCCCTCAAAGAACAATTAGGAGATGGACAATATCATTAAATAAAATTAGGGCAGCAAGTTACAGATAGGGGTTTTACAGTGTGTCAAGACTATTGCTGCATCAGCCACCCTCAGTGACAGATTTCTGAGGCAGGCCTCAGATTGGGTAGTTCATAGTTCTGATTTCTTCTGTACACAAACATGTACATAATAAATACATTCTGAGAGTCTCGATTCTCTCATTTCATCTGTAGAACTGTTGTTTAAGAAGACTACCCTTTGATTTATTATTTGCATTTTTTGGTCTTACTCATATGAAAAGATGACCATGAAAATGAGAGAATAAAAGCCTTTATGCTTTTTTTTTGTTTGGTTGAGTGAAGATGTTCACCACAGTGTTTGTTTGTTTTGGTATCAGGGATCGAACTCGGGACCTTGCGCTTGAGAGGCAGGCAGTGGAACCACTGAGCTAAATTCCCAGCAAAAAGCCTTTATACTTAAAACAATTTTTCCTAAGGTGTTTTTTTTTCTAGTACTTGGGATTGAAGTCAGGACCTTACACTTGCAAAGCAGGCATAGTGCCAGTGAGCTAAATCCCCAGTCCTTAAGCTTTTTAAATATTATTTTTATATCAAAACTTGTTTTGGGGCCAGGGATTTAGCTCAGTGGTTCTGCCGCCTGCCTTGCAAGTGCAAGGGCCCGAGTTTGATCCCCGGTACCAAAAACAAAAAAACAAAAAAAACCTTGTTTTGAAGCTAGTTGTGGTGGCACACACCTGTAATCCCAGCAGTCAGGAGGCTGAGGCAGGAGGATTACCCCGAGTTCGAGCCAAGCCCGAGCTACATAGTGAGTTCAAGCCCGGCCTGAACTATATAGCAAGATCCTGTTTCTAAATAAATAAATAAATAAATAAATAAATAAATAAATAAATAAAATTGTTTTGAGTAGTTTCCTGAGTTTAACTTCATGGACAGATCTTATGTTCCGTTCATAAAGTTAAAGATTGAAATATATATTGATCTTTCTAATTTGCAGTATCATGACATAATTTCAGAATAAAACTAACTAGGAATGAAAACATATTTAGATCTAGCAAATGTAGAGGGTGGCTCAGTTCAGTCTATTCCCCAAAACAGCTTTGAGATGTCTAAACTTACTTTCACGTAACTTTATTTTCATCATTGGTGGTTTTATATTTATCCTAAGACTCTCTAAGAGTTTAGCCATTGCAGTAGCTATAGCTTAAAAATTTCTTATCTGTAGAATCCTATAATCTAGTAGGACAAAAAGCTTGGAAAATGGGGCCAAGAGCCAACTAGAAAATATACAAGACAGGTACTTTAAAAGCCAGTGAGATGAGGACATTTGTGAGCAACAAGCAGCCTTTTCCTTTTCATGTTCAGCTTAAGCAATTGTTTGAAAGTCTCAATTTTAATACAAAAACATGTAGAAAACTTGAAGCCCAGGAAACAAATGATTGGAATAGCTCTGCTGAGAAGAAGGTGGTGTTACTGTAATCCTTGAAGAAAGCAGCCAAAACTTGAACTTGTCTGGGCATGATAAAATTTAACTGTGACTCTAAATTGCAGAAGCCTAGGCTCAGATGCTTATGTTAAGGGGCATCATCAGCATGATACATTACTGAGGGAGCATCTGAAGGTAAGGCTGCCTGTGTTCTAGGGCATAGCACACTGCTATGTTGCATAGGAGAAAGCCACCTGAAGTCATCAAAGTCTGCCTTGAACAGCTAAACTGAGGGACACTGGAAATATGCACCTCTATGTTTGGGTTGTGGGAAAGAAAGAACAAGAATAGCCATCGTGGAGGAAAGGAGGTATTGATAAGTATGATAGGCAGCTGTGGGGCCAAGTCATAGGGTTTGAACAGCTACTGGGAGAAAAATGAAACAATTTCTTTGTAATTCTTTCCTATGGCAGAGACCATATTTAGTACTCAGGTGATGTGAAACACTGAAATGGTTTTTGGAAGGTTTGGAGGAATTAGCCATTGGCTACTTTTGAAAGGAAAAAAGGTTTGAGTTTTCAGGAAGATGGTTTTTGGGCCTTAGGAAGATGTGAAAAACAAGAACAAGTTTGAAAGGTAAAACTGTGGACATATTTCCCTTTAAAATTATTTTTATGTTGTCTTAGATATGAATTCCTTCAGTCAGATAATCACAGGTAGGATAGTTGTTAATAGTCTCAGTTCAGGTGTAGCTCAGTGGTAGAGTGCTTACCTAGTGTGTGCAAGGCCCTAGGTTCAATCTACATAGAAAGTCACACACACACACACACACACACACACACACAGATACACACAAGTCCTTGTCCATCTGATAGAAATACTTTGTAGAAACTGACTCTCTTTCCTTCCAGTATATCCTATATGGTCTTAGGCAAGCCAGTTTTCTCCAATCCTCATATTCCTCCTTTAAAAAATAGAGTTGGCATGATTAAATGCAAATAATACACTAACAGCTCAGTCAATATCAATAACTTACAGGTTTATAGTAAAATATTTTTATAGGCTTAAGAATAAAATACAATTTATTAAAGGAATGTTGCATACATACACATGGGTCAACTCTTCCCAAGTATTTCAACACCATAGCATACTAAGTTCTATTTAATTTCCTCATGTATAAAAGATATGCTAAAGATGCATGCCTTATCAGTTTTTATTTTATTGGGTATGGCTATAGATGATATCCTTCTATATAAAAACAAACTGCACAGTATCACATAGAGAGTACAGACATCTTAAATTCATTCATACCCATCTCATAAACTGCCCTCAAGAAATTTAAATCATTGCTCAATTGGAATTTCACAGGAAAAAATGATGCTCAATTTCTTTGTTTTTCTAGAACTTTCCACTTGTTAATGTTGATATGTTATATCCCACCACCCAAATTAACCACCTACTTAGTTTTAAGTAGAGTGTTTTTCAAGTGTTTTTAAAAAATGTGCCATTTATGATAAAAAGAAAAAGTATAAATAGGAACATCATTTAAGGTAGACAGGCACCGCACTATACATTCCTCTTAGAATAATTTCTAGAATGTATACACACTGACTTTAAGCTATGATGAGAATAATTTGGCTTTAAATGGCTACAAATTTAAAAGGGGAAAGATGTTAAGCTAGCTGTCAGATTTCGGTAAGGATGAATCTGTAAGGATGAAAACTGTTCCCTGCTCTGGAAATACATAAGCCTGGCATTAAATGATTGTACATTAAAACATTTTTTGTGGAGTGAATACTAGGTATTGAAGTCAGAGTCTTCCCACTGAGCTACATCCCTGGACCTTTTTATTTTTTATTTTGAGGCAGTGTCTAAGTTGCCTAGGTGAGACTCAAAGTTGGGATCCTCCTGCCTTAGCCTCCCACAGTATTGGGATTACAGGTATGTGCTAATGTGCATTGCTGTTAAAACATTTTATAGCATTAAAAAGTATTAGAAAAAACCTGACATTCCATTGGATCTGCTGGTACTTCATGGTACATTTTTAATAAAAGCTGTATGCAAAAATCTACTTGATGTTCTGGTTTAGAATTTACATTTTTCTTTTTCATTAACAAAGAATAATGTTGAAAACTGATGACTACATAAATGAATTGCTTGCTATGGACCATGGTGCAGTGTTGACCAGCTATAGCTGAGTATTAAATGTCCTTACTTTGCCCTCAGCTAAGTTTCTGTTAAAATTTTTGGCCCACCATATTCTCTGCTTCTGATCTTACTTTATAACTGTCTTAGAGCTGTTCCTAATCCAAAATCTGTTTTTTATTTTCTCCAAAGATCAGCTTAAGGAGGCAGCCAACTACATGCTGTGATATCAGAAGCACTGGAAAGAACCTACATTCCTGTCCCGTGAGGCATCAGTGACCTGTTGAGAAGGCTTATAATTTACACACACCTGCCATACATGACATCTGAAAAGGTAAACTCACTTGAGATCCACTGTCAAAAACAGGTTTTGGAGGGGAAAAGAAAAAGAACATTCAAGATTAAAGGAAAACAGGGCCACAAAATGAGGGGAAGCTGGCTTAATGTGGCCCAGCACTGCCAAGGGCCAGTGTTGGCTTCTCAAAAAAGAAGGGTGAGCACCACTATCCCAAGGCCACATCTTGACATACCTTTTCTTTTTACTCTCAGCTAACTACAAATTTTTGTTTCCAGGGACAGGTTAGTAAATCAGAATCAGGTTGGTAGACATCTTTAATCACATGAATTCCTCCCTACATTTCAAGGTATTTCACATACTCCCTAAGGAAAATCTACAATAAATAAAGACAAAGGTTTGCAATTTGAAGAATCTTCTAGCCTAATTAAAAATAAGAGGTTGTAAACACCAGAACTTAATATAAAGAATAAATTATAAGCAAAACATGTCCTTGCCCAAGCTGTTTAAGTTATATTTACTACAGATACATCCCATTTATGAGGTAGTCAGATTCCTCAGATGTAATGGGACGGGCTTTCTTAAGTTTCTGTTTCACCAGTCGTAGTCGGCAAGCAACCATGAGAAGCAGCAAAGCAGTGATGGCCAAACCCAAAGCCAGGGGCAGCACCGCACCTGTGAAAGGTTAGAAATGAATAGGGTAGATCAGAAACTAACAGGGTAGGTCAGTGAATAGGGTGGGTCAATGACAGCTACTGTTTATGATATAATAAGCACTCTGCACTCTTCTTTAACCTGTATAACTCAGCATGGTACTAGCATTACCACTACTTCAGATTAAGGTGAAAAGAGGTTAAGTAATTGAGCTAAAATTGCTTGCCTTGTATGTTGTAGGTCTAGCTCTCCTGCCCAGACCTCTTCAAAACCAAATTCTGTACCAGGTTTCTATAAAATTTGTTTGGCATCAGTGGTTACAAATGTTGCAATGAGGTTACCCTTGTATCCAACTGTAATAGACACACTGACCATTAGAAAGTTTTTCATTGTCATACATGATCATTCTCCCTTAGGTAGGAACTAACTCATTTCTGAGATCTGGTTAGGGCTTAAGAAATTTATTTCCTTTTCTAAATCCAGGGGCTGTATTTCCATACAGTAGAATCTTTGTTGAAAACTAACTTCAAAATATGCCACTGTAACTTTGGTCATGAGTTGGTAAAGAAAACATTTCTTTTTTTTTCTTCTGTGGAGTTGGTTCTAGACAGAGACTAGACACAGACTTTAGAGGCTTGTGGAGTCCGGAAGAGGGACCAGGATGCCCCAGATCAGTCTTCTGATCAAGGTCAGCAGGCTCTATTCTTAGTCTGATCTACTCTGTAGTGAGGCCAGGTGTGGAGATGATATGGTGGGTCTATTTTTAGCTGCATGGCCTGGCAACTGGTGGAACTAGAGGAGCAAACATCTCCACTGTGTAACCTGATTCTGTAACATTTTCTTTCATTCATTTATTCATTCATGCTGCATTAAGTAACAGCCATCTATTTGTCAGAAACTGAGCTGACTACCAGTAATCAAAGGTAAGAAGAAATTTTTGTCAATTAAAAATAAATAAAAAGGACCCCCAAAGGATAAGGTAATGCAAACAGTACCAGGTTTATAGTTTAAATCATTGAATTCTCACAACACCCACATGAGCTGGTATATTATTGTATTCATTTTACAAGTGAGGGAACTGAGGCATCATAACTAAGTGACTTGCCTAATGGTGTATTATGAGTGGTGGGGCTAGGATACCACCCAGACAGTCCAGCTCCTTAGCTTGTGCTCTTAACCACTGTAGAATGCTTCCCCAATAGGGAAATGAGACTGTTTCTGAATGGCTTAAAGTCTAGGCAGATAGGCATTTAACACATTCACAATGGGGCCATAATTTAAACCACCGGTAGTACATACATGATGTCCCATTGGGCAGCTTTTTATTAATTTTATTAGTAAAAAGAGTGATAAAAGTGATTAGATCCTTTTATACCACCAGTGGTATAAGCTGCCTGAGGAGAGAGTTATGCATGTACCACTGATGGTTTAAGCCAGCAGAAATGTGTTAAAAATAATGCAATATAGTATTATAGTTACCATGATATGATTACATATGAATTACAGATGTGAAAAGGAGTACTCCATCTGTGTGGGGTTTTTTTTTTTTAGGTACTGGGGATGAAACTCGGGACCTTGAGCTTGCAAGGCAGGTGGCGGAACCACTGAGCCAAATCCTCGGCCCCTCCATACATATTTTACTGGAGTGATTTGATGCTATGATGGAGCTTGTTTGGGGTGGGTAGGGAGATCATTATTATTTTTTTTAACATTTTCAGAATAACATGGCTGGGCTGGGGATGTAGCTCAGAGGCACCATGCCTGCATGGCAAGTACAAGGTCCTGACTTCGAGTCCCAGTACTGGAAAACCCCCCCCCCAAAAACATGCCTATAGGGACTCCAGGTGGACTTTTCTCCTAGGCTCGATCCTTTAGCATAAAGGTGGTACCTACAGCCATGAAAGTGAGTGAGTCTGCCAGAGAGAAAGGAAGAAAGGAGGGCTAGAAGCCAGGTCTTGGGAAGCACTGTCCATGGTGTAGACCAAAGAGGACAAGTGAGAATTAGAAGACAGGTCAGAGCAACAGTAGATCAGGTGAAGGAGAGGAGGGTATTAGGAGCCAAGGGAAAAGACAAGCCTATAAAGAAAGGGCTCTGCAGAATCAGATGCTAAGGAGAGGTCATGTACGGTGAAGTGTGGAGCGTCCACTAAATTTAGCAACTGGCAACTTACTTACAGAAGACTGAAGACTAAGGGCCGATATCTATGTATGCCTCTGTCTATATTTTTTAGAGAGAGAGAGAGAGAGGGAGGAGAGAGAGGAATTTGTTTGCAGTTGTCAGAGGAATGAGCCAGTAGAAAAACATTAAAAGCTCTAGAGAATTAATAGATGATGGAGAAATGTATCTGAGGGAATAAGAGGTTAAATGATGACTGGGGAGAGATGGCCCTGGATGAGGACCCCTACTCCTTCAGTGCTGGAGGGAAGGAAGAAAAGGTGGGTGCAAGCAGACAAGTTCCTGGGTTTGGGGATGTGTAGCTGAGGAAATTCACTCAGGAAAACCTTGATTTTCTGGCCCTAAAGCTGGTCTCAGGAATCCAAGAGAAGCCTCTTGAAGATATGAGGACCTGGATCTGGTTATACACACAGGGATTTTCAGCCCATAGGATAGTTTTAGAAATCCAGGTAAACCTGAACAAGATTTTTGAGAACAGTCCTGTGTCTGTTTTGCAGGAGGAGGAGAGGTGGAAGTTGCTTCAGTGACTGTTGGGTATCAAATACTGGAATGAGGCCAGTGTTCCCTTTGAGGTTTGTGAAAGCTAAGAATCTGTGATAAACCTATGCCTAAAATTTTTTTGGTTGTTTTGAGACAGGGTCTCACTATGTAGCCCAGGCCGGCCTCAAACTTGTGGTTATGCTTCTGCCTCAGCCTCCTAAGTGCTGGGATTACAGGCGTGCACCATGGCTATAATTTTTATTCTATTTTTTTTGTGGCTTTTTTTCTAGAATTTTTATTCTAGAGTTTTCTCATACATTCCACACACATCAGCTCTCTAGAGGTGACAAGAATCACTGCTTCCATACTCACATCGGTAGCACATATATTAAAATTGGAATGACACACAGAAGATTAGCATGGCCCCTGCACAAGGATGATGTGAAGATTCACGAAGCGTTCTGTGTTTTGTTTTATTTTGTTTTCTTTTCTGTATGCCATTATCTGGATGGCATTGTGTTATTAACAATACTGTGGTCCATTTCTGGAGAGCTGGGTGCTGGGCTAATTATAATGCACCCTCACTCTCCAAATTAACAGAGGGGGTTGAATCTTGAGACATAGGCAAAGGCATATAGTTAGCCATGCCCAGAGTGTATGGTTGAAAAGTAGATGCTAACTGAATAGGTCTCTATAATAGCAACAAAATCTTTCCACTATAATTGACCCACAAAGCTCAGCACATGCATACACACACACACGGACACATTACACACAACAACAACATGAGAAGATAAGACACAAAATGACTCCAAAAACTCATCTTACTCCCCCAAAGCTGATACATGGGGTATCAATGGTAAGGGACTCAAAAGCCTCAAAGCTGAATTATTTGATGTGATGAAAGAGGAGATAAAAAACAGTTCAATAAGGTGCTTGGCAAGCTCAAAGACAATATAACTAAACACATAGTGGACTTAATAAAACAGTGAGTTTATAGAAGACACTAAGAAACAACTATCTGAACTAAAGAAAATGGTACAAAACATTAATGACCAGCTTAGCAAAGATTTAGAATCCATGAAAAGGTACCATACAGAAATTCCAGGAGATTAAACATTTTATTCAAAGTATGGGTAATAGAAGTGACAAATTTGAGGACAAGTGTCAGAACTAGAAGATAGGGCTGTTGCAGTGACCATATACTGAGATATACCTTAAAAAGAACAGAACATAAAAAAAAAAACAAATGGATCCATCAGCTGCTGGATGACACACAAAAAAAGACAGATTAATTGGAATAAGTGAAAAATCAGAAGACACACAATTGGTATTAAAAAAAATCTGTTTACAAAAAAAAATCTGTTTACAGAAATAATAGCAAAAACCTTTGCAAATATGGGGAAAGAATTAAACATACAGATAAGTGAGGCATACAGAACCCCAAACAGTTTTCCTACTTAAGAGAAATGCACATTAAAACAATAGAGATTCTGTTTTACTCCAGAAAGAATCACTATTATCAATAAATCTATTAATAACAAAGGCTGGAGAAGCTATGGGGAAGATGGAAATCTTCTACCTTGTTAGCAAGAATGTAAACTAGTACAAGTATTATGGAAATCAGTATAGAGATTCCTCAAAAAGCTAAAACTAGAAATTCCATTCAACACAGCTATTTCCTTTCTAAATATCTTCCTGAAAGAGAAAAGACATCATATTACAGTGATATGTGCATACTCATGTTTATAGCAGCACAATTCATAATAGCTAAATCTTGGAATCAGATGAATGAGAAGACCACATTTTTTTGGATCCCATTGGGAAGAGCCATTGAAAAGGTCCTAAGACCACAGTGTGAAAGAAAGGAACAGAGCTAAATAATCGAGAAAATACATTCTCTGTACCAGTCTACAGCAATCCTCTGGAAAGTAGTGAATGTCTTATAAGAGAGTTCATTATCCATGTGGGCTTAATTATAGAGCAGATGGGTGTGAGCACATGTAAGAGATTGTGGTTTTCCATTTAAAGGATGCATGTAAGCAGGGTTGGCCACATAATAAAGTTGCTGAAGAAAAATGTAAAACGAGAAATTCTCACAGCATGCAGAGGAAAAGGCTAAAGAAATTAGGAAAGAGGGGAAAAAGAGAGATGTAGAGGGCCCGCCTGGAAGATACAAACTATGTGTAATAGGAATACCCTGAAATGGAGGACAAAGCAAAGAAACAATAAAAAAGCTGAAACAATAAAAGAACTAATTGAAGAAAACTTTCCAAAGTTGAAGAATAAAGTAGGCCTGGAAATTAAGAAGGCTCACAGGGTACCTTTAAAATTTAACAAGAAGAAAGCAACACCTAGACATATCCTCAGGAATTTTTAGAATATCAAGGATAAAGAAAAATTTTTGCAAATATCCACACAGAGAAAGCAGGTTATCTGTAAAGGGGCAAGAGTCAGACTGACAGATTTTTTTCTCTTGAAATTCTAAATGCCGTAAGACAATGGAACAATACCTACAAAGTTTTAAGGGGAAATAATTTTGAAGCAAGAATTATATACCTTGCCAAGTTAGCATTTGTGTATGAAGGCAACTGGAAGATATTTTCAGATACCAAGGGTTAAGAAAGTATATCAACCAGGAACCCTTTCTGAAAATTTTGCTGAATGCTTTACTGTAGCCAACAGAAAAATTTAAAAAAGCCAGGAGATAGCTGTATGAAAGATTTAATGATTAAAACTAGTTAAGAACAGGAAGTCTAACATTGTTACATATAGGATAATAAACCTAAATGGAAAATAGATTGGTAAGCTAGATTTAAAATTTTCAGCTTATGTAGTTTTAAATTATCAAAGTACATGCCATATATTTGATATACTGGACAAATAAATACCATTATTTTTGCCACATGATATTATAAAGATGCATGTTGTTAAGCCAAATGTATTTTAGATAGAAGTGCTTTGTCACTGTGGGCAGGACAAAGTATAGAAAAGACATTTTAAATGTTCATCTGACAGAATTGGAAAGTGGTTCAGTTTTATTTCCTTTCAAAAAATTAACAAGTTCATAATGTTAATACTGATAATATAAGAAGAAAATTTCCAAAGCATTGGTCAGAGAGGGGTGGATATGTTTGAAATCCTGAACTGGGAAAACCAGTAATTACCGCATCAGATAGTAGTTCATATAAATCAATTTGTCAGAGTTGTAGACAAAAATAGATTATGTACATTCCAAGTTTCTGGAATTGAAAACATGAAAAACCAAGACAAAGTAGCAAAAGAAAAATATCAAGGAAGAGAAAAAAAGAAAAATATCAAGGAAACATTAAAATTTGCATAAAAGATACTGATAGAGATAGAAGTGAGTTGCACTCATAAACTGGTTAAATTCCAAAGTAATAAGATCCAAAATGAGTAAAAATCAGGCTCTGATCTGCGATAATAACATTTGTATAAAACAAAGGTTGAAGGGGTTTAAAGGTCACAGAAACTCATTAGGTCATAGAAATGGAGAGCAACATTTCCATTAGACAGAGACAAGGATAAGAAATTTCACATTGAAGAGACTGTGTGGCAGTCATATGTAAGATCTTTGTTTAGTGCCTTGCTGTGTGTGTTAGTAAATTGATACATATATTTTAAAACATTTAAAATTAGTGATTTTATGTACTTAAAATTCATTGAACAATCCTTCAATTAAAGAGAATAGGGCCAGGGATTTAGCTCAGTGGTGCTCCTGCCTGCCTTGCAAGTGCAAGGTCCTAAGTTCGGTCCCCGGTACAAAGAAAAAAAAAAGAGAATACATGTAGCAAACAAAACAAAATGAAACAACAGATGAATGGATAAAGAAAATGTGGTATTACTTTGCCATAAAGAAGGATAAACTAGGGCCGGGGATTTAGCTCAGTGGTTTCGCCGCCTGCTGCACAAGCGCAAAGACCCAAGGAGTTCAATCCCCGGTACCAAAAAAAAAAAAAGAAGAAAAAAAAGGATAAACTTGAATCATTTGTGGGAAAATGGGTGAACCTTGAGACCACAATGTTAAGTGAAATCACACATACAGGCTTTCTATGAGAAATCCAAAATATAAATAAAGAGTAAAATAAAAGACAACAGGAAACAGGGAGACAGATCTTACGCAAAACGGAAGGGAACCAAGAGACGGAGGGCACGGGAGTCAGGGTTAGGGGATGAAAACAGAACCAAGATGTGCTATATACATGTATGAACTCCCCAGGATGAGTATAATCATTATATACTGCAAACATGTGCTAATAAAAATAAAATCAGAAAGAACCCAGTGCTTCCTTCCTTCATGCCAATGGTCTGGGCTTCAGTGACCACCTCGATGGAAGAAATTTTGAATGGGCTGAGTGGTCTGAAGGTGTCAGTTCTCCCCTTGGCCTTGTGCACAGACCACATTAAGTTGGATATTTTATAGAGGAACAGGACAAAAAAAGACTTTAGTCAACCCCACAGAAATCCCAGGAGCCCCCAACAATATCCCACAAACTAGAACAGAACACCCAGCCCCAGATCCACTTATTCAGACCAGGGAAGGAAGAAGCAGCTTCCAGACCTCAAACTGTGTCTGACTTGTTGAACACTGAGAACCAGAGTTTAGGTTAAAAGGGAAGCAAGCTGTTGGTGGAGGCCCCCACCCCCATTCTGGGGCTCAGACTTAGCTGTGGTAACAAAACCCAGATATACAACTGAGGACAATGTCTGTTTGCCAAGTCAGATATGAGGTTGTTGAACTGTCAAATCTGATCCCTGCTGAACACCAATAAGGAAATGGAAATCTCCTATAAAGTAGCATTTGCCAGAATACTGAAAATTATTCCCAACTTTTTAGAACCTAGTTGGCATAATTTCTCAATTAGCTTGGGGAATCTGAGATTTAAAACTTTCCAGCCCCTTCTAAAACACACTATGATAGGACTGGGGATTTAGTTCAGTGGTTCTGGTGCCTGCCTTGCAAGCTTAAGGTCCCAAGTTTGATCCCCAGTACCAAAAAAAAAAAAAAAAAGAAGGTAAAACACATCATGATAAAATTCTCAGTAATCAGATAAGGTGATGAATTATGTATTCTTCTCATAATGAATGGAAATGACATTGAAAATATCTAACAATTAGAATCAATACCAGCCACTAAAACTGAAGCTCTATGTTTCATGGCCAGATGTTGATAGGGGACCAGCACCCTGTTATTCAAATATCTCGGGACAGGCTAAGTCCACTAGACCAGCAGAGTGGAGTGAGGGGCATTCAGGTACTTAACATCTAGATTATTCTTAGATATCTGTCTTTTAAAAATTATAGTTTAAACCAGGAGTGGTGGTGCACACCTAGTATCCCAACACTTGGGAGGCTGAGGCTGGAGGATAGCCAAGAGTTTGAGCCTAGCCTGGGCTAAATAGTGAGTTGAAGACCAGCCTGAACTACATAGCAAGACCCTGTCTCAAACAAAACAAAAAAATTATATTTTAGTGTTATCTATATATTACAAAAGTAAAAGAAAAATTTTCTCAATGTTTCAATCTGTAATTTAAGAATCATTTGTGCTCCTAAATTTCTTTTTACTGATTAGTTTGTGAGATTTAGGTCTAAAGCCTGCCTTTCTTTAGCAGTATGTCCAAAGTATTTTCTTTCTAGTTAAAAACAACCAAAATTGTAGAATTATGGTATTCCTTTTCACTTAGTAAAATTTCCTTCTACCTCCTATGTCCTTTCCCCATTCCTGCTGCTTTCTGTATTTGTTACTGGAGCACTAAGAGCACTAGGTCCCTTCTTGCATCATAAATATCTCAATAGTAATAGCCATCATTTATATTATTTATATCATTATTATCCTATGAAATGAGCCTCACAGTATAAATGCCTTATATTAACTGTTCCATTTGTTCTCCTTAATAACCAACCCTATGAGGCAAGTGAGTAACTATTCTCATCTCAGCAGTGAGGAAATTGGGACCAAGAGATAAGGACCTGTCCAAGCTCATTGAGTTTAGTGGTGCAGCCAGAATTTGAACTGTGTGATCCTAGAGCCCTTGTTCTTAACCCTATGCACATGACTTCCTACAGAATGTTCTACCTGACAGGGTATAGAAAAGAAAACTGAGGTCCAAAGAGCTCTAAGGTCAGGAGCACCATGATACATGATGATGCAGAAGATGAGAAGACAGTTCTTTTGGCCCATGGATTGCTGCTCCTGCCCTGAACTCTCAAGGCTTCATCTGATATCCTCAACCACAGCACATGTGGTTCTGCAGAAATCTCTACTCTGCAGTACATTTTCAAAGTATATGTTTACCTGCTTCAGGAGCTGGGTGTTCCCCCCTTCTTCGATGGCTCTTGGACTCAAAAATAAAATTTTCCTCATTTCTGTTCTTCCCCAGGGAACTGGTATCTGTGGAAAACAAAGGGAACATATGTTGAAGACACATCAAAAACTTCAGTAAATGGAAGTGGAAATACAGCCTTACTTATTTTTTAAAAGAATGACTTAGAGGAAGGACTTACATGATTTATTTTTCAAACATAGGCCTATGTTTGATACTAAGACACTGGATGGCTGATGTGACCAGTTTGATAAAGCAGAAAGTAACTAGTTAAGCCATTGGACAGAGAAAGGGAAGAACCTCACTGCACCAGACTGCCCTCCCCACCCCTGAAGGAAGGAGGAACCTCATCTAGGAAAGTCAAGGGCAGTCTCTGGACATTAGGCCTGGGAAGCAGAAACAGTCAAGAAAGTTTTCTTTGTAAAATTAAGAATGAGCACACAGAGCATGTAGACTTGCTGTGGCACTTTCTCACCACAACCCTGCTGGTCAGGTAATGTTAGCTCAATTTTTCCTGTTAGGCTGAGGCTCAGATTACTGCCCAGTTTCACACAGGAGTTAAGTGGGTCACAGGGCAGAGACTGAAGGTCGGGGTATCTGGCTCCTTGTTGGTGGAAGCTAGAACTTCTGGTTTAATGATGCATTATTGAACTCTTCTAATCAGTTATTATATACATATTGAGGGAAAATATCAAGAAAAAGAAAATCTCAGAATTTTTACCCTACGGTTCTGATAAGCCAAGGGTATGCCTTTCTGTCATTTCTCATCCAGTAATTTATAGCATTTGTGTGCTTATTCCACTGATAGAATAAATAATACCTGAGTTGGTGGAGTTACTCTCATGCTATACTATGGTTTCAAGTGGATCTTTGAATATTATAATGCTTCATGGGAATAAATTAGAAATCTTCCCACATGAACAATTTTATTGAAAAATAAAACAACTTTTAAAGCTTCTTGACTTATATGGCATCAACAGAAATATTAATAACTCTGCCATTAAAATGAGATGATTTAAAGGTGGTATATAAAAAACACATGGTCTGTCTAGCAACTGTGCACATCAAACTAGCATCCCTGACAAAAGGTTGGAAATTAAACTATTAAATTACCTAAAATCCACCGTGTAAGATTTCTCCATCCCTTTCTTCCTCCCCATGTCTTACTGCCAAGTTAGTTGCAAAAAAACTATGCATTCTCCTTTACCTCTCTCTCCAATAATAAATTTGAAAATGGGAAGATCACATGGTTAGAAATTTTGAAAATAATGATACAGGACTACACAAAATGCCAAAATTTATTAAGTCCCAATTTTATTCAGAGGATTAACTGGCTTGTCTTTCTGCTGACAGAAAAACATAAAATAACTGCATTCATAGGGTTCTCCCCTCTGCTTCTTCCGAGTAGAGATGTGAGTGTGTTTATCTTAACTCTGAAGAGGAATCCAGTGCTGGAACTACCATTGTACTTTTTCTATTTTTGTCTTACAGTTCTCTTGCCCTGGTTTCCTAGTGAATACCACTGAACTTGAGTAGTCCAGTAAAAATTCATATAGTGCAATCATGCAATCTACATAATACAACGAGAAGATACTATCCTCTTACAGGTGAGGAAATGTAATTTGGAGAAGTTAATTACCTTGTAGTTAGTAACTGGAGGTGCTAGATTGGAACCCAGAACTGATCAAAAGCAGCTTTTCTAGGGACCCACACTGCTCTCCAAGTCACAGCTAACAAATACAAGTTTTCTATCCCCAGGACTTATAGACAATATTCATATTTCAGGATGATTACAAATTTAATTGTTTCCTCTGGAAGGCTTGGCACAATGGTCTATTAAGAGAAGTGGATTAACTGTACTTGGAAAGGGAACCTATTCTTGGAAGGGGGGTGGTGTTTAAAAAATGGCACAAACCTTCAGTTATCAAAATTAGAGTATGTTCTTAAGTGTCTTCTTTCCCTGGGGGAGGAAACAGTGGAGTGGGAATTGGGAAAGATGTTGTTCTAGGAGAGGGAATGGGCTCAGGAACTTCAGGAGGCACAAACACCAAGGTCTCCAGAATTTCCCAGATACATTGCCCTCCCTTCTTGGTATTTGAAATGTGAATTTCTATTTTCTACATTTTATGAAGGAATTCACTGTAATTTCCTAGACTTCATGATTCACTTTTCCTAGACTTCACACATGGAATGCCATATATAGAGAATGCTTTACTCCCACACATCCAATTATCAGCTCTAACCTATGCAGTAAATCAGAACAAAATGATTATCTCTCTTACTTTGCAAATGATTCTTTTTGTAATGAATCTTCCAGAAGAGTTCAAGTCTTAGGAAAGTATTTTTCCTCTCTTCTGGATGACCTGGCTATTATGTTCTCCTAACACATTTACTGAGGGAGTTGGTAGCTGGACAGAATTGTTTAAATTTCATTCTCGGTCACCATAGAACATGTTCTGGAAGAAGTTAGAAAAGCCAGCTGGGAAAGGGCCTGCCTCTCAGAATGCTTTTCAGCTTCCTGTGATCACCTGCTACCTGAGCCCAACCAATGTAGACACTGGCATTTTGCCCTTCAGTGCTGGACCACACTGCGCGTCTGCAAAGTACATAAAAGGGAGCTCTCTGCAGGAACTGTTCAGTATCGCAGTAGGGTGAGATCACTGCTGGCTGGACACCTCTGGTCTGCATGTACATCGTGTACACTGGGAGTGTTATTTAAGCCTCATTATAACCATAAAAGTGCTCATGACATCTCTTTGTTCATTTTCATATTTAGGAGTAGTAAGCTTTAGAAAGCCTCTACAACTTGTCTAAAACTTATTAAAAAGTATTCTAAAATTCATTTTACTAATATCTTATTTCCACTGGCGAAGGCAGAACAATAAAAATATCACTATTGATGATTATATTTGTATTTGTCTATAGAATAATCTTTTAATACTACCTGAAGGGTAGGGGATATTTAGCTAATTTCTAAATAAAATGAGCCATGTCATTTTGTTGAAAAGCAAGTGGTTCCTTATAAGGATAGAAAAAAAGAAATTTAAAAACAGACAAAAAAGATGCAAGGAAATCGGGATTTAAAAGTTGTATTTAAGGGCTGGGGATTTAGCTCAGTGGTTTCGCCGCCTGCTATGCAAGTACAAGGACCCGAGTTCGATTCCCGGTACCAAAAAAAAAATTGTACTTAAAAAAACACAAACCTGTAGCTTCAGAACACAAAAGTTACTCAAGCCTTTTTCCCTTTCAGGAAACTCACTCAAAAAATTCCTAAAGGTCTTTAAAAGCCTGTAAATTGGTCTTTGGACCTGTATTTTTCACCTGTAAATTGTGCTTCCTCCAACCTCAAAAAAAGCAGCAATATTAGAGGGCAGCATGTCTCAACTTCAAACACATGTAAATGGCTTGCATTCTGCCAGATGAGTAACTTGACAGACAATAGAAATACATATCCTAGATCATCCATCTTGAATATACCCAGGACCCCAAAAATATACCTAGCTCCAGCTCATAAGGAAGCCTTCTTTCTTTAGGGCCCATACTCTATTTCTTTGAGTGTGTACTTCTGAATTTCTGCTGAATAAAACTTTTCCCATGCCTCTTACTGACTACTCCTGAAATTTTTTTTTTCCACAATGAGAGTCAACGAACTTCTAAACAGTCTATGTTTAGGGTGGATTGAGTTCCTCATCTCAGCTTTGGGAACTTGTCAAACCCAGTCCGGTGAAACTTCAGCTTTATCAACATGTGGGTCAGAGTTTACAAAATAGAATTTATTCCGGGTATAGTGGTGCATGCCTGTAATCCTAGCACTCAGGAGGCCGAGGCAGGAGGATTGCCAGGAGTTCGAGGCCAGGCTGGGCTACATAGTGAGTTCAAGGCCAGCCTGAACTACATTGTGAGACTCTGTCTCAAAAAACCAAAAACCAAACCAAAACAAAACACAATGTAATTTACTATATAAACCATATATAGCTTTCAAAGTTAAAACATTATATAGCCTCCATTATAAAACCTTCAACCTGAAACCCCGTAGAAGTTAGAGGGTGCCTTTTCCAAGATCATCATTTCTCTATGTGCCCCAGAACAATGAGTATGCTTACAGGAACCTGCTGATTGCAGTAGGCAAAATGACATTTTCCAAAGTAAGTAGGGCAGTGAAAGAGGACCTACTCCCCTCAAAATAATTTCATGGAAATAACCATTTGAAGATTCTCTTTTTTTTTTTTTGGTACTGGGGATCAAACTCGGGTCCTTGCACTTGCGCAGCAGGCAGCAAAACCACTGGGCTACATCCCCGGCCCTTTCTTTTTTTTGGTACCGGAGATCGAACTCAGGTCCTTGCGCTTGTGCAGCAGGCGGCGAAACCACTGAGCTAAATCCCCGGCAAGATTCTCCTCTTGATAAGTAAATGTCCTTACACATGATCTTCCAATCTGGTTTATTCCTAGCACCATGCTGGTGGAAGACAGGCTGTACACCTGTGCTATCACATGCAAACAAATCTAAGGTATTTTCCCAGAACTCTGATTTTACAGTTTCCAAATGGTTCCTCCATAAGAAAATAAATAATTTAACATGATGAGATGAAATTTTAAAAATTTAGGGCATGAAAAAGGAACTCTTTAAAAAAAAATCTTAGGCCCGCAGTATAGCTCAGTGGTAGAGTGCTTGCTTAGTATATGCGAGGCCCTAAGTTTGATCTCCAGCATTTAAAAAAAAAATCCTTGAATAAAGTACTTTCTGTAACAACACAAGAATCAAAGTAGCTCACTCTAGTTACTTCTGCAGATAAGCTAACCAATGAGGTTTTGGCATATTCAGCCAAAGAACCCACGGAAAGCACGAAGAACTCCAGGCCTCTGTACAGAAAGCACATATTCTCCCAGGTCTGTACTTTATTCTTTAAAGAATCTGACCTGCCGAGCTAGACAAGAGTTCTCAAGTTGCCAGAAAGACACATCCATGTGAATGTAAACACATCACTACTTTTCTAGCACTCCGCAGGGCTGGAAATCAGATTTCTTTCCTCTGGTTGGGTGGATACCAGAGGACAGGCTTATTAATGAGTGACCTGGACCACAGAGAACAGGCCTCACGGCTGCAACCACATCCAACAACAATCCAGGCATTGTGCCTTTTGGCACCCAGTAAACTCAGCCACACTGGAGCTCCGTGTTCCTCCCAGCCTGGGGCTTAGTGTCCTGGGTGTTTCCTTGTATAACCAAATGTTTATATGCAGTCTTTTTTTTTTTTTTTTTGGTACTGGGGATCGAACTCAGGAAATTGTGCTTGTGAGGCAGGCACCAGAACCACTGAGCTAAATCCCCAGCTATGCAGTCTTTATTTTATCCCTAGCAATGTGCTTGGAATAAGGCCCCAAGATTGGAATAAATGGATCAAGGCATTCACAGTTCTGAGGGTTCAGTAACAATTTTATTTTTATTTATTTTGGGGGGGGTACCGGGGACCTTGTGCTTGCAAGGCAGGCATCGGCACCACTAAGCAAAATCTCCGGCCCTAAGTAACAACTTTACAGAGGACTGTGATGAGTTTATTCTCACTAGAAGTGTATGAGACTTGTTTCTTTCCACCCCTAGAGGCACTACTGTAATTTTTTATTTCCAGTGTGACTGATCGTTGAGAAACTGTATCTCCTTGCTTTCTATACTACATTCTCAGCATTGATCTTAGTATCTCATGCACGTGTCTATGGTGAGCCAGGTCTTATTTCTTTTCATCATGGGCCTTTGAGGGAAGGAGGCAGTAGAACACCTCACTCATCCATATTCATTTGTACTAGCTGATGGTCCTTTTAAGCCTCAGGCACATGTCGCAAACAAGAATGTACTTTTAGATCTATTTCTATTATGCCAGGTCTTTAACTCACATGAAATTGCAGGCCAGGGACATTAGGAAAGGAGGAGTTGGGAGACAGCTGCTGTCTAAACAGAAACTAGTGCTAGAAGGGCTCTTTTTAACATTTTCAAAGTTCTGTTCTTTTCTTCCCACCTTCTTCTTCTCTGGATTTGAAAATTGTGTTTTTGTTGAATATCTACTAGCCCATGTCAATCCTCCTAACTGGTAAAAATAAAAGTTTTATAAAAACAATATTATCCTGGGCCGGGGATTTAGCTCAGTGGTTCCAGCACCTTCCTTGCAAGCACAGGGTCCCAAGTTTGATCCCCGGTACCAAAAAAAAACAAAAACAAAAACAAATCCTGATCTCATTAAAAATGAGTAAATATGTGTGTATGTGTACAAATAAAAGTAACCAGAAGAAAGCATGACAAAGATATTAGTGAAAAAATTTGCTAGACAATTTTTATTTTTAAAAAATATTTTTCGATTTTCTTAATTTTCTACAGTAAATCTGTATTGCTTTAATAATTAGAACAAAGAACAAACTCCCAATATGTTATTAAGAATAGCTCATCTCTATGCATCTCTATGCATCTGTGAAACACCACTCTACATCTTCACAGCCCAAACCAAAGGTTTATTATCAAAAAGGCCAAAAATAGAGATTCCAAATACATTTCAAATTGCATACTGACTGGTGGCAGCTTAGGCATGATTTTCAAAAGGATTCTGCCTGAGTCCACACTCCTGGGGCTACTGCTGTGATCAGCAGGTGATACCTAGCATGGTAAGAGCTGATGGAGCAAAGCATCAGCGTGAGGCTCTGTCTGGGTCCTGAAACAGACTCAGGCCTCAACAGGACCTCACAGGGGGCCAGGCTGAGATCCTTACAGATAGATAAGGAAACCAAGGGCCAGAGATAATTTAAGGCAAGACCTGGCCTCTATTGTACCTTCAGTTAATTTCATATGAACCCATGTGGGCTTCTCTATCTCTTGGATGTAGCAAGAATTCACCCATCCTGATTTCTAAGAACATGGCTCTCTGACTTTTCTCCCCTTCAGCACTTCTGGTAAAGACACCTGGTGTCCCCCACTGTTTCTTAGGTGGGAGTTGTCTTCCTCCTACAAATCTGCATGGAAAAAACTGACGAATCCTGCGACTTGTATGCAGTGACTGATCTTCCCAGTAGGTGGCAGTACTAGCAAGGCATGGACTGAAGTGTGCTTAACCAAAAAACTCCGAAAGAAAACCCCTCATAGAATTTAGCGTTTTGCAGACATATTTGTACAGAGGCACTTAAAACACATAAAGTATACAAAAAATTTGGAAGGAGATATATCAAAGTATTTAAAGTATTCAATAAAGGTTGGTATTTTAAGTCATTTTCATTTTTTTACATTTTCCATGTTTTGTACAATCAACATTTTTTTTTTTTGAGACAAGGTATGGCTAGGTAGCTCAGGCTGGCCTTAAACCTGTGGTGATCCTCCTCATTCAGCCTTCTAAGTGCTCGTGTTACAGTTATGTGTCACTACACCTAGCTCAATCAATAAAGTTTTAAAAGTTATTGACCACTGATTATTTAAATAAAACAAGAGTTTTGGTTCTGAAATGACATCAGCAAGAGCATATGGAAATGTGATAATCTGTATTTCTGTCTCTGAGGTCACATAATCATGAGAGTACAAATGTGTATAAAAGAAATTTAAAATGATGGAGTCCTGTAATACTTTAGTAGTGTGATTTTAAAATCTTATTAACTTTATTAAAAAACAAAATACAAAAAAACCAAAATTACAGATTTAAACTGGAAAGCTAACATTGAATTATTAATACATGAAAACACTTCACGATGATGTATATTTCTTTTTTTTGGTACCAGGGATTGAACTTGGGACCTTGCACTTGAGAGGCAGTCATGGGGACCACTGAGCTAAATCCCCGGCCCTGATGTGTATTTCTTTATGTTCACGTGCTCAGGGTGAAGAGGACTGACATAAATATGTAGGGGTTATGCTGCTTCATCTCCAAATAACCTAAAATTTAACACCCAGGGCATTAATTAAACTAAGTACTAAAACTTTCTAACTCTAATTTATCTACAAATACATGTAGCAGCCAGTCCTCCATGTTTAAGGGGTCTTCATTCAATCTTGGGTTGAAAATATTTAGATAAGAAATTGTGTTTGGGACTAGGAATGTAGCTTGGAGGTAGAGGGAGGCCCAGAATTCAATCCTCAGCACACACTAAAAAAAATGTGTCTGTACTGAAAATGCACGGACTTTTTTTGTGTCGTTAGTCCTTAAAAGGTCCAGTACAACAACTCTACATAGCATTTGGATTGTATTAGGTATGATAAGTAGAATAGAGATGGTTTAAAGTATATAAGAGAATATGCATAGGTTATATGCAAATACTATGCCACTTTGTATGAAGCACTTGAACATCCACAGATTTTGGTATCTCTCCTAAAACCAATTCCCTGTTAATTAATCAACTTAATTTTGAGCACATTTACCAAAAACAAGGCTCTTCAGGGAGAACCTGCCAGAGCCCTTACCTGGCATCACAGGACTGATTTGACTCTCTGGTTCCCCCAAGGCAGAGTGATTCTTCTCTGTGCTTGATAAGGTAGCTGGCAGGTTGGGTGGTGTGGGTTTCTGGGACTTTTCCAACTGTGAGTCCTCCCCAGCATTTGCGATTAGCCCTGTGGTGCCTGGCAGGGCAGGATTCACTGCTGTGTGAGTCACCAGCTTTCGGTCAAGGCCCACTGAAGCATGGGAGAGCTCAGTTAGTTGTGTGGTTTCTTTTCTGCACTTCAACTAAAATTATATATTTGCAGTTGATTCAAAAGCATTGATATCTAGGAGAATAACCGACCCATCCAAGACATGTCAGAACCTCATAAAAATGTTTCTCTCTAGTTTTTGAATGTATTCATGTATTCTCCAGTCTTTCAGTAGCTCGCTTTCCAAATAATATACATGAAGAAATGGAAAAAGATAAAACCTAAAACCTTATATTTTGAGACTGGTTGTCTTTCCTCAAATGGGTGCTTCCTTAAACTTTCTGCAAGTCTTCTTTCTTGCAGGGCACTTCTATGTACATGACACTATAAGAATTCTGACTTAGGTACAACCCAGTGTGTCATAAATGTTCTTTAAAGACTATCAAAACAAAATGTCAATTCACTGCAGTTTTTTTTTAAGTCACATTATTGCAGCATTTTTAGGATGGGGAAGAAAAAAAATCTTTGGAAAATAAAAATTTTTTAAAAAATATGCAATGGACCGGGGATTTAGCTCAGTGGCACAGTGCCTGCCTGGCAAGTGCAAGGTCCTGAGTTCAATCCCTGGTAACCCTCCCCTCAAAGTGATGGATTAAAAAAAAATAAAAATATGGATAAAAGAAGTAATGGCACTGATATGGCACTGATAACAGCAAAAGATTGACATTTGCAACTTAGACTAGAGACTCATGGTGAATTCCCATTTAAGGCATAGCTTTTGGACATAAAGTTATACTTGAAACCAGGCAGAGAAAGAACACTGGGTTCCCATGTTATTCTAAGAACACAGACATCCCTCCTCTACCCCTGCCAGCCCCCTGCCTGACAGGGTAAAAGGCAGACTCACAATTTTGACAGAAATCCTCGTCAGATCCATCAGGACATTGCCGCACTCCGTCACATGTCAGGGTGATGTCAATGCAGCAGCCGTCATCACAGAAGAAGTGGTAGCGCAAGCAAATGTTCAAGCATCCTGTTTGTAGACAAGTGTCAAGTCACAGGGGTATGGGAATAATTAAGACTTCTACTCTATCTGGATGGACAGACACGGGTATGAGGAAATGCATCTGGGCAGAGTGCCTAGAGAATGAGAAAAACCTAACCAAGCTAGAGCTACAGGTTCTGGAAAGGTTAGAGGCCTCTTCTTGACCTCCTGACTGAATTTTCCTCACCCTCGATTAAGCCAACCTTACTAGATACAGCTGTGCAAGAATCAAGTGACTGACACTGATAATACAGATGAAAGGTATCCAGCTAGGATTAGGTTACAAAGAGTCCCAGTTTTACAGGGAAAGTCTGGACTACACAGTTCTCTCAGGAAATGTGACAGGAGCGTGCTATATGCTATTTCAGCAAGGCTGGTGACTGAGCACATTCTACACAACCAAGTGAAATCTCAGTATCGTTCCCATTTTTAGTATATGTGCTGCTGAAGCAAGCACCCAAGTAAAATCTCAGACACATTTTATTGAGACACATTTAAACTAGTGGAAAAGGAGTTTACATGGGCATCACCCAATTGGAAGATATCTTGATCCAGGGGAAAAAGAGGGTAAAAAAAAAAAAAAGAAAAAAGAAATGGTAGAAGCGACTGAGGAAGAAGGGAAAACAAAAGGCCTGCAGCTAGGACTGAAATTCAGGCTACTGTGGAGGAGTCAGAGAAAAAGGTCGGGGCAGGACGGGATGAGCAAAGATGTCTCTGTTCTTCAAACAGAACAGAATCCAGGTCCTCTTCTGTCTGGCTTTAGGTATAACTTTGTATGAAAAAGTTCTGCCTTAAATGTGAACTCATCATGAGTCTGGAGTGAATATTTGTCACATTTCTTAAATCCATGACATGAAAACCCTAAATATCTGACAGTTTTACTCATCTCTGGGTAGTTTTAGAAATAAAGCCATATTTATTATGGATCCATTTCTGGATTAGTGGGCTCTAAACTTTTTTGACCATGCATCACGACCAATAATACATTACTGAATATGCATCTCAAATTTATTTAGAAATAATATGCTATATACCTTATCAAATATGCTGAAAATTTTAAGGAGATTCAAAATTAATGAAAATGTAGGTTTCACTATCTTCTCTGCTGTCCTAAAAATGTCTTGAAAATCTCTGGGGGATTCTATTTGGAGATACTGGAAGTGCTTTTCTGGCTTGCTATTTGAATAGATATTTTTTCAAACACACAAAAAGTATTAAAATGTTGACATTATCAAAATTGAACCAGGTTACTATCATATAATGTTATATAGTAACTTACTATTATATAATAAGTTATCATATAATAGGTTATGATCATATAATAACTGTCTTATTTATGCTGGTGGATACCACTCTTGGTTACCATAACAGCTGGATTAGTAATTACAAAATCAATATATGTAATAAAGGAGGCAGAAACATCTCTCTATTCCTGCTGCTGCTTTTCACCATTTATATATGGCATTTCATTAACTTTAATTCATAGCATGTTCTTCCAGTATAACCTGTAAGTGATTCCAAGTAGTAGAAGTAGTAGTACTGCACTGATTCTTTTTTATTTACTATATAAAGTTATATTCACAAGACTGATATCAAAGTGGCCTTTCAGTATGTGATTCACATCATTCTGTGCCACTTTAAAAGCATTTTGTTATCATCTTGGAGAAGGGCCAGAAATTTACAACTGGCAGTTTACCTGAAAAGCTGGGCTGAGTCTATCCACCAGCAAATCATTTGCTGCTGAGGGCTCAGCCATCTGCTCATGTTCACACAGGCTCTTCCTCCCTCACAGCCACCAAGCTGGACAAAAGCACTTGTCTTCTAATTTCTGTGTGAGTGACAGGCTATCTGCATCTATTCAGGTGAGCTGTGAGCCTCCCTGGTGCTCTGTTCCCAGTGGTCCAGGTACCAGCTAATGATCTCCCTAGCTGATTAGCTCTCTTGTGCAGCAGCAGTTCATCAACAGGGGTGCTCAGATCCAGGCAGAGCTAAATGAACTCACCATTCCTGGTGATCTCATGGTGCCAGGGTAGTGGGAGTTTAGTGCTGGCCTATCCATGTGTAGCTACCCTTTCCTTCATTACAGGAAGCTTAAACTTGGCTGGTCAGGGAGTGTTCAGCCAACCAAAATTTTAATGCTGCTTATGTAAACTATCAAGGTTGCCAAGTTCTTAGGATTCTAAAATCTCTAACTCTTTATGAATCTTCATTTCCAATATGCATGCCTATGTTTTTGGTGGAAGACTATATCCACTACAGAAGTATACCAATCATATTCCAATTCTTATATCCTTATTCTTCAAACTGCTAATTACAATCTATAGCCTAAGTATTCAAGAATGTTAGAGACTTGCTGCAAGTTTGCTAGAGCTATGGCTAGTGAGAGCAGAGCTTTTTGACACTAGATCCTTTGGGAGGATAGGACTATATCTACTGGGTTTACCGCTCTGTCCCCAGTGCTTAGCACAGTTTCCATGTTCTGCAGACAGTAAGGAAATATCCCCTGACCAAATTACAGAATGCTCACATGCATGATATCTCAGCAGTTCTCTAGAAGTCCACTGCATGGGCTTCCCTCTGCAGTATCACTATATCTGTAGTTTAACCAAATTCGATATAATGGGTATTTTTAAACGAGCTAATCTTAGAAATGCAGGGCTTGGGAAAGTAATATAGATGAGTGAAATGAGTTTTACATTGTGCAATACAGTGTGAGAACCCCTATTTTATATATTTTAAATTATATTAATATATGTATCTGTGTAAAGTGTCTACAAAATTTTTTAAGTAATGCTTTCCACCTGACCCATGTATTTTGCATAATTTAATTTGTCTTAACTATTCCTTAGCCACATTCTTTTCTTTCTTAAAAATTTTGAAATGACTTATGTCAACAATTTATTGTGCCCAAGAACTAAGTCTTTCTTCTATTCGGTGGCATGACTTTCATTTTTTATTCTGTATTTTATTTTTAATTGACAAATAATAATAGTATATATTTATGGGGTACAGAGTGATATTTTGATATATGTATACATTGCGGAATGATTAAATCAAGTAAACCAACATATCCATCACCTCAGATACTTACCATTTTTTTGTAGTGAGAATATTTAAAATCTACTCTTAGTAATTTTGCAATGTGCAATACATTATCATTGACTATAGTCATCATGCTATGCAACAGGTCACTAGAGCTTATTCCTTCTCAGTGAAACATTAACCAATGTCGCCTACATTGCCCCAGCTTCTAACCATCCTACTCTGTCCTTCTATGAGTTGGGCTGTTTTAACTGCACTCTGCAGCTGTACTCATTGAATGTGCATGTCAAAAAGCCCTCAATCTTCAAACAAAATGCTCTCCTGGAAAAGTCAGAAGCTGTCTTTTATGAAGGCAAATGAGAAAAGATGAAGCATTTACAGGGCCCAGTAGATCACAGTCTATTCTCATCTCTTGGGGGTGCTCCCTGCACCTCAATCTGTGGTGTCAAAATATCCTAAAATATAATGCAGCCTGTTTTCATTATTATATTTTTAGTAAAAACTAAACCAAACCAAACCGAACCAAAACACCCCTCTCACTCAACAACCTAAAAAAACCCAAAAAATTAAAACAAATTTTTAAAAGGAAGCACCATGGAATGCATAGTCAGGATGTAAAACAGCCGACGCCGTCCTTCCAGGAACAGCCGATGTGACTGGCTGTGGTGAATGCAAGGGAAAGACTTTCCTCTCACCTCCTGGTGGCGAGGAGGTCCTGGGATGCACTGTCACCGACACATTGTCTGAGCTTCTCTGACCCACAGTGTCAGTCACGGTCAGCTGCAAGGTGTACATTCCTTCCTGTAGGTGGGACAGCTTCAGGGTTCCTGGGTGAGGCACCTGACACACAAATGGGGTAGCTCAGGGTTAGGGAGGAGATCCGAGCACAGAGTCCAGCAGCCCACAGAACTGCAAATCAGTGTCATTGGAGCAGGGCCACCCCATGCCCCTCCTCCAGGTCCAGGGCTGCTGAGTACTCCATCCTGCACTATTTTGGCCCCATCTCAAACACACCAGTTCGAATACCATCCAAGCTGGTAGCACCCTTGACTGACAATCCCTCCACTTGGCCTTAGCAGCCACTGTTCCAAACCTGCTCCTCCTCTCCATGCTCCACACTCAGGGTCAAGTCCCTGCCTTCTCATCTACTTCACTAAGAAAACCAGGACAATGGTTATGGTTGTCTCACCCACCTCCTCCTGGGCATAGCACTGTGCTCATGGCCACCTCCTTCCTGATACCTGACTCTCTCAGTCTTTGATTTTCCTTCCCTGACTTTTAGAACCCTGACCCATCAATCAATTCCTCTTTCAAATGGCTTTGCTATTACTATGCTCAAGGTTCTCTCATCCCCCAAAACAAATGATATAAAACAAGAACAACTAAAAAACTGCTTGAACTCCAGGGTCCTCCCTGGCCTGTCTCATTTCTGGCCTGTCTCATTTCTGCCCCGTCTGGATGTGGCTCCTGGGAAGGTCGCTCAGTATCACTGGCTGCTTCCACATGCTCATTTCCCATTGCAGTCTTTGACCACCACTGAGGCCGCTTGCCCTACATTCCCCTGAAACTGTGCTGGCAAAACACACAAACGGACCTGGCAAAAGCCACAGAGTTGTCAAGATCAACAGTTGTCTTTGGGCCTGGGGGTGTGGCTCAGTACTACAGTGCTTGCCTAGCATTCTCGAGGCCCTGGGTTCAACCCCCAGGACTGAAAAAAAAAGAAAAGAAAAAGAGAGAGATATTCTTCCTTTAAATTAAAAATATTCTACTGTACTCATACATGCATACTCATGTTTATAGCAGTACAATTCATAATAGCTAAACTGAAAACAGCATAGATGCTCATCAACAGATGAATGAACAAAGAAAATGCAGTATATATACACAATGGAGTACTACTCGCCATAAAGAAGAATGAAATCATGTCATTTGCAGGAAAATGGATGGAACTTGAGACCATCATGCTAAGCAAAATAAGTCCAACTCAGTTAAATACACCATGCTTTCTCTTATATGAGATGTAATCAGCTTCACTGCTGTGCCATTATATTACCTTAAGGCACTGAAAAAATATCAAACAGGGTCACTTAGGTGAACAATAAAATGCAAAAAGTGTAAAAGGGAGGAAGAGAAAGAAGAGGAGAAAAGAGAGGGGCGAGAAAAGGAGGGAAGGAGGGAGGGAAGGAAGGAAGGAAGGGGAAGGGAAGAGGCAAGGAGGGAGGGGCAGAGAGGGAAGGAGGGGGAGGGAGAATGCTAATAGCAACAAGACAATTCCAACAGATCCTGGAGTGGACAACTGATCCTGAAGAACACACCAACTTTAAAGTGCCAGTAAGCCTGAGAACCATCAGAGCAGAAGAGAGCTTCAGATGAGTAAGAATGAAATGAGATAAAACTGGTTTGGGACCCTCAGAGCTGTGATCCTCCCTCACTTTTCTTTCACAGCTCACTCCAATATATCAGAAAGTCCCACTGGCTCTACCTTAAAAACATATCCAGAATTTGACCTTTCCTCCTCACATCTACTCTGGTCTGAGCCCAAATCGTCTCTTGTCTGGGTCACGGCAGTGGTCAGGAGACCTGAGCCCCAGTGGGGTGTGGCCTGGTGCCCCTTATCTTCTGGAACTCTTTCCCTCCCACCTCTATGTGCAGCTTGCACTATGACCTCTCCCCCAGGCCACAGGGGCACTAATGCTGGGCTGAGCTACGGCAGGCCCATAACACTGAAAGGGACGGGAGCTGCCCTGGTGGAGACGGGGGCTGGGGCGATGGCAGGTTCTAGCTCTCTGACTCAGGCTCAAAATCATGCTGGCCTCACTAGGAGGGCAGGAGGCTACATCTCCATTAAATGTCTGTTGAGATTTAGGAACATAGGGGAATAGAGTAGCAAATTACGAATATACTAGAACGTGTCCAAAGAGGCCTGTAGCCTTTACTAAGAGGAAGAGAGGGAAAGAGGAAGAGAAAGAAAGATATAAGCAGGAAGATTATTTACTAGCTCTGTCCTAGTTGGTCTGCCTGAATGCAGGTAAGAAACTCAGACCGCTGAGGGCCAGCCACGGAGGGGCTTGGGTCCAAGGTAGGGAGCAGAGAAGTTAGAGTAGGACTGAACATGTGTAGGGTGAGTGGGACAGAGGGATGTTTCATCATGGCCAGTCTGAGTGTGACCATTGGAGTGAGGCGGAGATGAAGTTACCAGAGGTTTAAAGAGGCTCAGGAAGCCACGAGGCTAGGAGCTGGCCGGGCACCCAAAGGGATAAGGACATCACCCTGAGTCCGCACTCTCTGTGCAAGTGAGCCCCTCACTGGGCCTGGGCATCACAGCTCAGCGTGTCTGTGTGAGGCTAAACTCTGCAGGAGTGGGCTTGGCTGGGAAGCCTCTTGCCCAACACTGGGGCTGGAAGGACAGAGTATCCCCGTGAAGAAAGCCAACCACCCAGGCTGTGCACCCTGCCACCTTCCCAGGCCCCTCTTGTCCAGTACAGGAAACATGGATCCAGATGCAGATCCTGCCAGTCACCTTCACTGACCAGAATTCACCCATATTTAGATCTATTCACATTAGCTTATCCTCTGAGGGTGGCTAATTACAGAGCTAAGTCTGATAGACCCTTAATTTTGGACTTTCCAGCGCCCAGAACCATGAGAAATAAATTTGTTTAAAAGCCACCCAGTTATGGCATTTGGTTATAATCGCCCAAATGGACTATGACAATCACTTAATTAAAACATTTTAAACATTTGATGAATATTAATCAGCCCACTGCTTTGTGAATTCCAAATATCCCTAAACATCTCTGTTCTGATTCCTAATTGAAATACTCAGCATCATGTCATATTTTACATTCTGACTTTAGATTTAAATGTACTATATCTAATACCCATGAAACTCAGTGTCATCTAATGAGCTGCCTGGAAAATATGTGTCTCCTTGCATTTAAGAATGTATTATGGATCAATGTTCAGTTACATCTATTTATAACTTTTTTTCCCATTAAATTTATTGGTACATTTTGGGTATAAAATACAGCTACATTCATCATTAGGATCTTGTACCTTTACATGACATATCTTGGTTCTTATTTTTTCTCCATTCCCTGTCCTCCCTTCACCCCCTGCACCCTTCCCTATTTACAAAGACTTTGTTTCCATTTTTTTCCTTTTCTCATATTTTTTCATTCCCCTTCTTTCCTTTCCCCTACCCTTCCCACTTCCCCTACTCCATTAGACCTTTTCTTCCTATGACACAATATCAATTATACATTTTTTAAAAATTACAATATCAAGATTTAGATGCCAGGGACTTAGCTCAGTGGTTCCAGCATCTGCCTCACAAGTGCAAGGATCCAAGTTCGATCCCCGGTACAAAAAAAAAAAAAAAAGATTTAGAGGACATTATAAAAGATTTTACAGACTTTAAAAGGATATAGAAAGCATATTACAAATATCTTTTTTGAAATAAATTTGAAAACTTCTATGAAGTACCTTGGAAGACAAACTAATGAAACTGACTCTGGAGGAAATATAAAATTTGAATAGCATCTATTAAAGAAAGTATATTCTTAGCTTGAAAACCTACCTATATGACAACAACAGGCTCATATACATTTTAACTGATAAATTATGTCAAACATTTAAAGTAGAAAAAAGAAGGAACACTTCTCCCCTCATTGTAGGAAATCAACACTGTACTAATACTAAAACTGGATGAAGATAATAGAAGAAAAAGCATGAACATAAATAAAATTTGTTTAACAAAACAAACTATTAGAAGTCCAATCTGGCAGTATGTAGTAAGTGGTTTTATTACAGAGATAGCAGTGTTGGTTCAGCATTGGAAGTCATCATTTTAACAAAGGAAAGGAAAAAGCCATATGATCCTATCAGTAGTTGCAGAAAAAGTATTGGTCTAAATTGTACAGCTGTTCATGGTAAAAGCTATCAGGAGACTAGAAGTAGAACAGAACTTTCTGAACAGATCAAAGACATGTACTCCATACTTCCAGCAAAAACGCCTTATATGAAAGGAAAAGATACAATGCTTTCTCCCTAAGGTGGGGAACAAGGGCAGATATGCCTACTCCTCATCTGTCCATTAAACTTTGAAACATAGACCTAAACCAAAATAGTCTGGCAATAAAAAGAAACAAATACCATAGGATTGGCAAGGTAGAAGTAAAATCTTTATATGTAGATGAAATGATCATCTACAGAGAAAATACTAAGAAATCTCTAGGAACCCCTAGAACTTGTATTTGAATTTAGCAGGATTAGAAAACACAAGGTCTATACAAAAATTCAGGTCTGTGTATACTTGCTATAAATGAAGAACTGGATACTGAAATTTAAAAGTTATGTAGGAGTAGAAAGGACCTGGAAAAGTAAAAAGAAAAAAAATAACAATGTTGGAAGACATTTATTACCTAATTTTAAGACTTCTTCCAAAGCTACAGTAATCAAGGCAATGTTGGCATAAGGAAAGACACAGATCAATGGAATAAAAAAGAGAATCCAGAAATAGAACCACATATGTATGGTCTACTGAGTTTTGAAAGATTATTTAACATTAACATTCTATAGAACATAAACTCAACTCAAGAGCAGAGGAAAAGATAATGTTTTCAACAAATGGTACTAGAACACCTGGTATCTGCATGTAAAAAATTAACCTCGACCCTTTATTTCCATACATAAAAATAACTTGAAAGGATCTATGAATCTAAATATGAAGACTAAAACTATAAAACTTTAAGAAGAAATTATAAGGGAAAATGTTCATGAATTTAGGGTAGGCAAGAATTTCCTAGGATACAAAACCATGATGTATAAAAGAAAAAAATTGATAAATGAGATTCTATCAAAATTTAGAACTTTAAAAGACATTGTTAAAAAATGAAAAGTAGTCCTTAACCAAAACATGTATTTTGTTTGGCACAGGGGATCGAACTCGGGACCTTGTGCTTGCGAGGCAGTTGGTGGAACCACTGAGCTAAATCCCCAGCCAACCAAAACATATTTATAATACATACAACCTATGGCCAGAATATATAAAGAACTCTTTCAGCTCATTAATAGACAAATCAATTAAAAAGTAGACATAAGAAGATGATAAATAGCCAGTACAGCACAAGGAAAGGTGTGCAACTCTAGAATCAGAAAAATACTAATCAGTACAATAAGATCATATTATAAGTGTATTTATAACTTTAACATGTAGTGGACACCCTCTTGGTTCTGACCAATCCCCCCACCATACTTTTTCTTTTATAATACAGAGGATTGAATCTAGGGCCTTTCCATCCCAATTCATTATTATTTTTATTTTGAGACAGGTTCTCACTAAGTTGCTCAGGCTGGCCTCGAACTTGCAATCTTCCTGCCTCAGCCTCCTAATCTCTCTCTTCTATTCTTTCTTCAGAAATGAAGAAGACAAGCTGGGAACATGAGCTTTTCTGAATGCTTAGTCCACACAAAGTGCCAAGTCCAATACTGGGCACATACTAAATGCTAAACAAAAAGGTTAGTTATTAACTTTCTCATGACGAAGTTGGCAGTGTATTCTTTTTAGGTGAGAATCTCATTGGTTTCTGTTGTTATTGTTAAAGGACCCAAGGACTGGATCACTTGTGTGTGAAAAGATAGGTCCTAGAACATGATGTAAAAGTATCTCAAGACAAAACAAGGCCTCACTGTTCCAGAACAGAGAGGGAGCGTTGAGCCTGTGTAGCTGGTGGCGATCAGGGCAAAGGGACAGGAGAGAGGGAGAGCTCAAGAAGAGGCTGGGGAAGACAGGAAAGCCTGACCAAGGAGCACCCTGTGGCTGGTGGGGACAGTCAGTGGACAGAAGAACCAGGGCGTCCAACATCAAGTTTTACCTTCAGTGCTTTGCTATGGGAGGCTGAAAACCCTCTTCCTCTGCTTCCAGCAACCTCTGAAGTCAGCCCATTTTGTACCTTGAAGGAGGAGTCAGCTGGTTACCATTTTCAGAGAGAAAAGCAATTTGATTTGGGAGTCCCACTTTTTTTGCCAGAAATTTTGGGGTGTGAAATCAGGCTGCTCAAGCTAAAGGTACCAGAGTGATGGCCTGTGAGGATTGCTAGTTACTGTTAAAGGGAAACTCTCAAAAAGTAGAACCACACCCTTTACATAATATAATATAAACATGTGTGAAAGATTTTATTTAACCAATTAATTTAAGAGGGGACCGATAAGATATTTAACTGACTCAAAAGAGGGCCTAGAGAATAGACACATCTAGGAGTCGTGAAAGCTGAAATGAAGTTGCTAGTAGATACAAATGAGCTGGTTAATAAGTACTGAAAGTGTATTAATAGATTGGTTAATATGTACAGATACTAAAATGTCATATTTAAAATCATCTTTTCTCCAGGGTCAAAAATCAATCACATCTATATATAAAAATGTATCTGAATTTTTGCAGTAGAGAATCATTTATATTAATATCAGTTTTCTGCAACTTGTAAATGCTAACCCTGAAGGAGCTACAAACAGACCCCTAGCATTCCCCTGAAAGCGACTCAGAGCTGGGTGAGATGGCGTGCACCTGTATTCCTGGCCACTCCAGAGGCTGAAGCAGGAATGTCAGAAGTTAGAGTCCAGCCTGGGCAACTAGAGAGTCCCTGGCTCAAAATAAAATTTTAAAAAGGGCTGAAGTTGTAATTCAGTGTTGGAGTTCTTGGTTAGCATGTGTGAGGCCCTGGATTCAATTCCCAGTACTACAAAAGAAAAAGGAAGGAAGGAAGAATGGAAGAAAGGAATGCAAGAAGGTAAATACACACTCAGTAATTTTTTTCCCATCTCAAAGTCTTTCACATTTTTTCTTGACAATCTTAATCCACAAAATGGGGCTAAACTTCCATGTGAGGTTGCTCTGAGGATCACAAATAAGTGTTAAATGGTCTAGAACTGACTGATGCATAGCAACAGTGCTGTGATTATGATGCTGCCGTACTGGATGAGTGCTTACTGAGTCACTGATGAATGTACACCATTTTAAGAGAGTCACGATCTGGTAGCAGATGGCTTTCATAATGCTGACTTTGTCACTTGGATGACCGCTTTATAACTTTACAGCTATCTGCCACCGCTGTTATATACATGGCTAAGGAATCAGTTCAGTGTCCTCTTGATGGCACAGCAGTTTGTCCTATACCTAATTTTGTCACTTCTTTATGAATATCTCCAAAAAATTAAATAGGGAATCATTAGTATTACTTTTTTTTTTGTACCAGGGCTCGAACTTGGGACCTTGAGCTTTCGAGGCAGGCAATGGAACCACTGAGCTAAATCCCTGGCCCCATTAGTATTACTTTTACTCAGCACTCATTTATGCATTAATTACTCACAGAATAAAGCTTTTAGTAACAAATATAAAAAGCTGGAGGATGATGGAGGCTCATTCACAGCTGCTTGAACAAATATATCCCAGAGGTGCCAAGTGACAATGTCAACCCAAGGGAGCTCTCTAGTAGTATGATCAATAGCTTGTCCATCCTTCCGGATCAACTTTAAGTTTCAAAATTTCAGTTAAGATATATTAATCAATCTTGCAGCTGATGCAATGCACAGAAGGGTAATAAATGTGATAGATGATATGCCAAGTTCAAACTTATTTCTGTTGTAGATAAAAAACAAAAAGCTGAGATGTAAGGGGGATAAAAGAAGGTCCCGTATGGTGGTTTAATCAATTACACATGCCCAGGAGAAGGGAGACCATGTCCATGGCAGTAGTCACGGAAAAAGATGAAGCAGGTTGTAGGTAACCTGGCCAATGGAAGACTCAGCATGAATCTTTCATGTGATGCCGCCTCTAAAATAGATCATGTAAATTAAGTTTCATTAATAGAAGTAGAGACAGTGTCTGGATCATAAGAGGTAAAACTGTGTTAAGAAGAACCACAGCATAAATATGGGATTTGATTTTTAAGAAAAGTGTAAACTAATCTAAAACATCCAGAGCAGGCCAGATGATGTATGTTCTGAAAAATCAGTTCAAAGCCTTTTGTGCAGAATGAAAAGAGGATGTGTTCAGTGTTTTTCCAAAGGGAAGACCTAGCACAGATGCACAAAAGTAGTGAGGAGGTACAACCTTTTTGCCTAATAATTAGAGCTGATTAGCAATGTCACAGGATATGATGAGACACAGGACACAGTGAGCTTTTGTTCACAGAAAATTCAGGCAGAGAGAGCAGATGGCTCATGGAAGGGTTGCTGTAGTAGGGGCTCTTATTTGGATGAGAGGCTGAGTAAGATGCTGAACAAGGGTTCAGTCTAATTCTAAGACTATGGAATCATTGAGTAAATCAATGTACTTAAATAAGTGTAATGGAAGTGGAAGATTATTGTTTTTGTTTTAGTTCCAAGAGAGTATAAACTGTTGTTTTACTACCTCACCTTCTTCTTCCAGCTAGACTTGTTTTTGTTTTTTTGAGACAGGGATCTTGTTACGTAGCCCAGTCTGACCTTGAACTCACTATGTAGCTGAGGGTGACCTCAAACTCCTAGCAATCCTCCTTTCAGAGCCTCCCATGTGCTGGGATTACAGATGTGCACCACCACACGTGGCTTAGAGTGATTTGAATGATTGTGCCTAAGCCAGAAAATGTTTCTGTCTAGAAGAGTCCCAACTCCTTTCACGACTTGATTCTTACTATATGACAGCCCCAGGACAAACGGCTCCTTTCCATTGGCAGCAAATCCAGCTGCATACAGATGAGCCTGCCAGGGAACCTGTGCCACCCTTGCCCTTAAGCTTCTCAGCACAAGGGTGGCAAGCTGCCTAACTGTTTACTTTCTGGATCATTTCATTGTGTGCTTTATTTTCCTTTGTATTTTTCAAAAATTTCTATTTGAATCTTGAACTGAGTAAAGAAATAAGACCTTTAAGTAATCTGAGTCATTGAAATAAAACATGTCTTTTTCTTTAAATGTTTTTTTTTTGTCAAGAAAAAGCAGCAAAAATGAGGCAAGCTTCAAAACAAACAATCAAGACCACTGTTAACTCCATAGAAAACTCATTCTCCCAATTTGGGACAATCAATTTTATACTTTGTTTTACGTCTCTTCTACTAGCTCACAGGCATTTTAGGGAAATGAGGGGAAAGACATGCTTCCTGGAAGCATCAGTTTTCTCTAACAAGGGCGACCTGAATTACCTTCATGTTCACTGATGGGTCGCCTTGTAGCAAAGTCCACTCATACTGGACAATGGCATGGTCATCTGAGCTTTCGCGGCCATCTAGAATCACTTCATCTGTGGGCAGATGCAAAACCACATCCTGTCCAGCCTTGCTAAGTGGAGGTGCATCTTGGTCTATAAAAGAAAAAAAAAGTCATAGTAAAGAGATGGCTCCCTAATTGTTTTTCTAATTTATGAAGAACTATCTTATTTGGTGAATAGATTTCATCCAGCAAAGAACTGTTAAGAGAATGAATATTAAGTGGAACTTATTTTCCTATTGATTTTCATTTTATTCTCTTTACATAATAAACAATGAGAATATATAGTGAATATAGAATTTGGCTGTGATACACACAGAAGAGGAAGTATGGAGTGTCAGCTATTAGCAATAGCTATGGACAAAGTCGTGGGTACAAGACAATGTGCTGGGGTCCACCAAGATGTCAATTAAAAGTAGTTTTAATTTCTGTAATAAATTTTTTAGTTTATAAACGACTGAAGTTCAAAGTTCCATTAAATGAATTTATTTTTTAAAAAGATTCCTGAAACTAACCTCAGTAAGACCAAATTCACTTTTTATATAGATTTTATTTTTTCTTAACCTCAAGTTTTCAAAATAAGAGTGATACAGAGTGTTTAATAGAGGGGAAATTTATCAAATTTGGAAAGTTAAGGCAACCTTGAATCCATACTAAGTAAAGCCCACACAGAAATTCTCTGAAATCTAGTTTTTTACCTAGGAAAATAGAGGAGGTTTACAGACCTACTAACTAGTTTTTTTTTTTTTTTTTTGGTACCAGGGATTGAACTCGGGTCCTTCTGCTTGCAAGGCAGGTGCTGGAACCACTGAGCTAAACTCCCAGCCCAACTAACTAGTTTTTATGATAGAATCAGCACACTGAGTTTCTGTTGAGATGTCCTAAAAGAGCAAAACATGTATGTTCAGAGTCTGCCAAAAAAAAAAATGTATACACCAGGAAAAGAAAAACTTGTATAAATATTTTAATACTAAATTTATTGATACATCATGAGATTAATTAATACAAGTTACCTTTAGCTTCTACAGTTACAAGAGATGTTCAAAGTGGTGGCCATTAGCTTCCAGACATTTATTAGTATGGAAAACTGCTGAAGTGTGTATATTTTTTTGGTGGACTCTATTTTTACCTTTGATCTAGAATATGGCTAAATAATTTAAGGTTATAGGGAATAAGCACAGTTGCTTATTGTATGTTATTGCCTCAAGAAGATCAACTCCCTCTATTAGGAGGAAACAGGAAGCCTGCCCTTAAAAGAGATTGGGAGATCCTAGCCGGCACTTCCTTGATTCTGCTGTCTCATGATGTAAATGGTTTGCTCCACCACAAGTTTCTTTCATGAAAGATGTGTCATCCTGGACAATGGCCTGACGCAATCGGGCTGCTTGATCTTGAGTTGGAACCTCCAGAACTGGGAGTCAAAATAAGCCTTTCTCCCTGTGAGGTATTTTGTAATAAGTAGCAAGAAAGCTGGCTAATAAAATCAGTAACTCTGATTGAAATAAGCCAAGTCAACAACTCCTTGCCTAAGAAGAGACTTGTTCTGCCTTTTTCCTCTCTGAGCAAAGACCCAGAGCCTATTTTTATTCTGCTTCTCCCACTTTAAGAGAAACATGACATTTACATCACAATAGACCTGTTCTAGAATGTTGCCCTTTCCTTTGATTCTGAAAGGTTCATAGTTGCCACAGACTAGTTTACCACTTAATAATTCAGGGAAATACCTTATAATTCAGCAGTTGTATTTTATAGTTGACAGATGTGCATTAACATTTACTTTAAAATACTATATTTTTTTTGTGGTATTGGGGATTGAAACTACGGCCTTTGCACTGAGCCTTACCCCTAGTCCTATTTATTTTTATTTCAATACAGGGTCTCTCTATGTTGCCCAGGCTGGCCTTGAACTTAGAACTCTCCTGCCTCACTCTCCTGAGTAACCAGGATTATAGATGTGTGCCACTGCGCCAGTTAAAATACTATTTTTAAGTAGACACACTAAAATGTGGTATAAAGAACAATGCACACTACTAATAATTTTTTAAATCTCTCAAAAAGTTTACCTTAAAAATTTAACACGGAAGGATCAAATAAGTGCTGAAATATCTTACATATTATAAAACTAATTAATCCTGCCTCTCCTGAAAGAAAATCTTGTCATTTATTTTTATTTAGAAGAGCTTTAAGATACTATTTATGAACCTAGTGAAATCCTCATATCCTCTAAATTGACCTGTGATGTATTTGAAATAACAGAGATAATGCTTCCTTTTCAGTTCAAGTCCAGGTCAATTACACTGTACAATGTATTTTACAATAAGCAGAGCTTCTCTACCCTTAAAATAAACACATGACAACAGGAAAAGGACAGGCTACTACTTAACAATGGCTGACTTGTTAAAGATAAATGTAATTTTGAATTTTCATTTGTAAAATGTAATAAACCTATGTTAAGTACTATGGAAACACTGACTTCTTTTGAAAACTAAACATCATTGATAAGACCTACAGAGGTAAAATAAGACTTGCAATAATTTAGATTGAATGCATCAAGGTGGGGTTTTATCCAGAGAAGAAGGATACTGTTAGTGGTCGTATTCATAACACCCTGCTAGGTACAGAGCCTTTGTGACGAAGATGTTCTAGGTCTCTACTGCGTGGGCACAAATGATAGAAACCAGGCCAAGACACTAGAAAGGGTCCCAAGTGAGGAACAGAAGTAGGGAAGACTGAGGGAAGAGGCTCAGATATACGGGTAAAAACCATCCTGTGGTTTTTT